ACTTTAAAATATTCTTAACACTCCAGATTGTCTGGCCGCATCTTTAGACAAGCATGCTTAAAATAAAAGTATACAGTCGGCCTTACTGGTTACAACGCAGACCTAGAAATTATAGGTTTTCTGATAAGAGTTCTCATTAACCCTGTAATAACTGTACACCTTCAGTTACACTCATTTAAACATGTGTTCATCTTTTCTTTTGTTTAAATGATCAGGATTTTTACCAACTTGTTTTACAGATATGCATTTCTTGTAGTGCCTCTTGATTTAATTTCACACTCAATGCCATAAAACTGCAGTTTATAATTAAACACAGACATTTGGACTTATTTCCATTTTAGAATACTTTCTTTTTCTTACCTTATTTTATTATTTTCAAATTGGGTAATGTTACGTTATGTTATTCTAGAATGAGTATGGAAAGGCGAGTCACCAGCTGCCCTATTTTACACAAGATAAGAAGTTCTATTCCTTTCTAATAATTTTGTGAAGCGATTCATGTATTCTATGTTGTAGGTTAAGTTTGATGGCATAACTGCAATAAATAATCAGGGCCGGTGCAAGGATTTTAGCTGCCCTAAGCAAAACAAAAATTTGACACCCCCCCCGCCATACACGCTGCCCACCATGTGACATCACAATACCCCAACCATATGATCTGCCATATGAACAACGCCAGTGCTGCACATAGTGTGTGTATACATTAAAAAGCCTGCAGGTCCCAGAACCGCAGCACCACCCCAGTTAAATGCCCACACACCTACTCACCAGATCACACCAATGCCACACAGTGTGACATACACCTCCAGGACATAGCCTGAGGGATGGCAGATCCCAACAACTTTTACCCACAGAACTAACACCTACTTCTTAGTGACACATGGTGTACATACCTAGAGTCTACACATATGCCGGTAAGGCTAATATGCAATGTGTCTGACCTTATGTTATTCGTAATATGTCTTATCTAATGCTGTTATTTTGTAAATTCGAAAAACCGACACCCTGACGTGAATATCTGCTACTTTGCATGAAATTTAATAAAATACAAATTATATTAAAAAAAAAACCTGCAGGGAAAGGCTATAGACACCAAAACCACTACATTAAGCTGCAGTTGTTCTGGGTAATATAGTGTTCCTTTAATGTGAGGTATATTAGAAATTAGTGTCACTAATAATATACTAGATTGCCTACTTAAAACCAGATGAGGCTGATGATGGGCTCTGGCTGCAGTCTGACTCCACTGGTCTGGTGTAGAACAGGATCTCTGGAGGCTGTTTGAAACTGTGGTCACAAAAGTCAATGTTCTGGGGGAACAGGAAGCAGCTCCATTTTTGGGGGCACCTTACACAGCTCAAGGTCTGCGCCCCCACGGCGTGACGGTGCGTATGCCAATAAGGCTCACCCATAGAGGACCTAATGTGTGTGCTTATGGAATGTAGAGTACAGGGAGTGCAGAATTATTAGGCAAGTTGTATTTTTGAGGATTAATTTTATTATTGAACAACAACCATGTTCTCAATGAACCCAAAAAACTCATTAATATCAAAGCTGAATATAGTAGTTTTTAGTTTGTTTTTAGTTATAGCTATGTTAGGGGGATATCTGTGTGTGCAGGTGACTATTACTGTGCATAATTATTAGGCAACTTAACAAAAAACAAATATATACCCAGTTCAATTATTTATTATTACCAGTGAAACCAATATAACATCTCAACATTCACAAATATACATTTCTGACATTCAAAAACAAAACAAAACAAATCAGTGACCAATATAGCCACCTTTCTTTGCAAGGACACTCAAAAGCCTGCCATCCATGGATTCTGTCAGTGTTTTGATCTGTTCACCATCAACATTGCGTGCAGCAGCAACCACAGCCTCCCAGACACTGTTCAGAGGTGTACTGTTTTCCCTCCTTGTAAATCTCACATTTGATGATGGACCACAGGTTCTCAATGGGGTTCAGATCAGGTGAACAAGGAGGCCATGTTATTAGATTTTCTTCTTTTATACCCTTTCTTGCCAGCCACGCTGTGGAGTACTTCGACGCGTGTGATGGAGCATTGTCCTGCATGAAAATCATGTTTTTCTTGAAGGATGCAGACTTCTTCCTGTACCACTGCTTGAAGAAGGTGTCTTCCAGGAACTGGCAGTAGGACTGGGAGTTGAGCTTGACTCCATCCTCAACCCGAAAAGGCCCCACAAGCTCATCTTTGATGATACTAGCTCAAACCAGTACTCCACCTCCACCTTGCTGGCGCCTGGAGTCTGGAGCTTCTGCCCTTAATACCAACGCCACGGCTCCATCCATCTGCCTACCAAGACTCACTCTCATTTCATCAGTCCGGCAAAACCTTAGAAAAATCAAGTCTTGAGATATTTCTTGCCCAGTCTTGACGTGCTTCGCCAGTGTTCTTGTTCAGTGGTGGTCGTCTTTCAGCCTTTCTTACCTTGGCCATGTCTCTGAGCATTGCACACCTTGTGCTTTTGGGCACTCCAGTGATGTTGCAGCTCTGAAATATGGCCAAACTGGTGGCAAGTGGCATCGTGGCAGCTGCACGCTTGACTTTTCAGTTCATGGGCAGTTATTTTGCGCCTTGGTTTTTCCACACGCTTCTTGCGACCCTGTTGACTATTTTGAATGAAACGCTTGATTGTTCGATGATCACGCTTCAGAAGTTTTGCAATTTTAAGAGTGCTGCATCCCTCTGCAAGATATCTCACTATTTTTGACTTTTCTGAGCCTGTCAAGTCCTTCTTTTGACCCATTTTACCAAAGGAAAGGAAGTTGCCTAATAATTATGCACACCTGATATAGGGTGTTGATGTCATTAGACCACACCCCTTCTCATTATAGAGATGCACATCACCTAATATGCTTAATTGGTAGTAGGCTTTCGAGCCTATACAGCTTGGAGTAAGGCAACATGCATAAAGAGGATGATGTGGTCAAAATACTATTTGCTTCCACAATTTTGCACTCCCTGTATAGCTGACACATATATATAATACGTGAGGTGCTGTTAGTGTGATGCGTGTGTGACTTATGCTGGTAGTAAAAGGCGTGGGGTGAGGGTGTTTGTGCGCCAGAGGATGCTGTTAATGTACTGTGTGTGTGAGGGTGCTGTTTGTGTGTGTGTGTGTGCGCTTGTGAGGGTGCTGTTAATGTAATTGTGTGTGTGAGGGTGCTGTGTGTGAGGGTACCTTTTCGGTAGTGTGCTGTGTGTGTGTTTATTAGGGTCCTGTTTGTTTTCTTGTGGGGAGGGTACTGTTATGTGCTGTGTGTGTGTGTGAGGGTGCTGTTTGTGTGCTGTATGTGTGTGGGTGCTGTGTATGTCTGTGAGTGCTGTGTGTGTCTGTGGGTGCTGTATGTGTGTGGGGGCTGTGTATGTCTGTGGGTGCTGTGTATGGGTGCGTGCTGTGTATGTCTGTGGGTGCTGTGTATGTTTGTGGGTGCTGAATGTATGTGGGTGCTGAATGTATGTGGGTGCTGAATGTGTGTGGGTGCTGTGTATGTCTGTGGGTGCTGTGTATGTCTGTGGGTGCTGGATGTCTGTGGGTGCTGGATGTCTGTGGGTGCTGGATGTCTGTGGGTTCTGTGTATGTCTGTGGGTTCTGTGGGTGCTGTATGTGTGTGGGTGCTGTGTATGGGTGCATGCTGTGTATGTTTGTGGGTGCTGAATGTATGTGGGTGCTGAATGTCTGTGGGTGCTGTGTATGTGTGTGGGTGCTGTATGTCTGTGGGTGCTGTGTGTGGGTGCTGTGTATGTCTGTGGGTGCTGAATGTGTGTGGGTGCTGTGTATGTCTGTGGGTGCTGAATGTGTGGGTGCTGTGTATGTCTGTGGGTGCTGAATGTGTGTGGGTGCTGAATGTGTGTGGGTGCTGTGTATGTCTGTGGGTGCTGAATGTGTGTGGGTGCTGAATGTGTGTGGGTGCTGTGTATGTCTGTGGGTGCTAAATGTCTGTGGGTGCTGAATGTGTGTGGATGCTGTGTATGTCTGTGGGTGCTGTGTATGTCTGGGTGCTGAATGTGTGTGGGTGCTGTATGTCTGTGGGTGCTGTGTATGTCTGTGGGTGCTGTGTATGTCTGTGGGTGCTGAATGTGTGTGTGTGCTGAATGTGTGTTGTATGTCTGTGGGTGGGTGATTGTGGGGGGTGGAGGTGGGGGTACATTATTTGCTATCCCCCCTCCCTTCTTACCTTTTGTAGGGAGGGGGGATAGTGCTGCTGCTTCCTTCCCTGGTGGTCCAGTGGAGGAGGGGATCCTTGCTGCTGTGATCCCTGGTGGTCCAGTGGAGAGTGAACTCTAGCCCCCTGTGGGGCTAGAGTTCACTCTCGCGAGATTTGAGCGTTGCCGTGGCAACGCTCATATCTCGCGAGAGGAACCCGGCGGAGCTGCCGGCAAGAGCTCCGCCGGGTCCTCTCCTGCCTCCCTCCCTGCATGTGGGTCAGTGGGGAGGGAGGCTGAGAGCAGAGCCGGCGCTCGGATAGCGCCGGCTCTGCATGAGCCGACAGGGGAGATCCTGAGATCTCCCCTGCCGGTCTCAATACACATAGGCGTGCCGCGGGGATTAGGGTGTGCCCAGGCACACCCGGCACACCCCGTGCGCACGCCTATGGTGTGGGGTCCAAGTTCCAACAGACTGAAATACGCTGGGCAAACTTGGTTAACTCTCACAGGTGCAAAGAAGTGTAACAGGCAACAACAGTATCCCATCATAGAGTGCAGGGAGTGCTTTCTGTTAATATGAATAGTGGGTTTTAATCTCTCGACAAGAGCAGATTTTTAAAAATAGCCTAATAGAGTACTGTTAAATTGTAACTGCTTGGTTTCACTGTTAAAGGACCACTATAGTGCCAGGAACACTATATAAACAACTGCTATGTTTATAAAAAAAATGGGTTAACCCTAGAGGGACCTGGCACCCAGACCACTTCATTAAGCTGAAGTGGTCTGGGTGCCTAGAGTGGTCATTTAAGTTATATACACTGAACAAAATTATGAACACAACACTTTTGTTTTTGCCCCCATTTTTCATGAGCTGAACTCAAAGATCTAAGACTTTTTCTATGTACACAAAAGGCCTATTTCTCCCAAATATTGTTCACAAATCTGTCTAAATCTGTGTTAGTGAGAACTTCTCCTTTGCCAAGATAATCCATCCACCTCACAGTTCAGCTCGTGAAAAATGGGGGCAAAAACAAAAGTGTTGCGTTTATAATTTTGTACCTTCCTCTCTATTGCATGTATCTACAGCAGATTGGAAGAGACTTTCTGGAAAAAGACACTTGATTTCCTTTGACCTTGCGATGGGTTGAAAGCAATTAATTGGGGTTTTGAGGGGTTATTTTGGGAGGTGCAAGAGATTTAAGGGACTCTTTTTTTGGAGGTGTAGGTGGAAAATAACTGGTGAAAGGAACATTGTTGAATAAGTAAGCTGATTGACATCTTTATGTACCACATATCAGTATGATTGAATAAGGACCACAATGTGTGGAATAGGATGCCCAGTCCCCTTCCATAATGACGGTACTCTGGGAGTAGTATAAATGTTTAGGGATGTATAAAATGTGTTTGTCCTCTAGGCTGGAAGCACTATCAGTGCATTGTATAAAACTGTAATGAAGTGTACAGGAGGCATGGATTGAGTACAAAGGATTTCAAATATGGGAATTGGTGCATCCAATGTGTGAGAGAGGAAAGTGATGACAGAGAGTGTCTCAGTTGTTGATATTTTTTACCTTTTAACCCATTGTGAACAAGACCAATTTCCCTGTGTACTAGTACACATACATACATGCAAAAGATTGTGGTATGCGATTGGGTGAGTTGTAGTGTGTTTATTTGGGAGGATACCGCATTTTTGTGTGTTTGTTGCATATAGAAGCTGTACAGGGAAAAATGGGGCTGTAGAGTGTGAGTGGGGAATTGGAATTGTAGAGAATGCATGAGTGGGCCGGGTCTGTCGTGTATGTGTGCAAGGATTGAGGCATTAGTGTGCATTTTGGGGTAATAGGGACTGTGTGTTGGGGGAGACAGAGGCCTTTTTGTGTCTGTTGAGGGGTAGGGGAGGCTAAAGTTGCCAGCAGGCCAGGTCTTGGGCCCTCATGACAGGCAGAACATGGTGCCTGGTGAAAGTTTTGGGAATGTCCGAGCAGGCATTTTTTGCGATACTCCCCCCACCTCCCCCCTATAAAGTACCCGCCCAAGGCAAATGCTGTGTTAGTATTGGTATAGATTCTACACCAACACCTCTGATGGGCAACAATTCCCAGTATCAGCTACACACATCCATTGATTAAAGGGACATTCCATTATAGCTATAACCCCAATGAAAACATGCGTGAATTTATTTCTCTTGTCTGAAGCCTTTGCAAGCAGACTTTCTGTGGCTATCCAATCACAGACTGGATTGGGGAAGTGAGATAGGACAAACAAAGGCTGCAGACAAAAGATCAACAGCTTTTGCAAGCTGGTTTTAGATATACCACAATGCATGCATGCATGGTTTCAATGGGGGTATATACTTTTTAGAGGGCTGTTGAGTGTGCCTTTAAGGGTTTGATTGGAATTGGAAAATTTAGGCTAAATAGCCAAGCTGTGTTTACACCAGAGGCGGAGATTCTTTCCAGATTGTAGACAGATTATTGTTGTCTCCAATTTGTAATTCAGCTTTTCATTCATACAGAACCTTTAGATAATCCTACAGCCAAAATGCGCTAATCTAGCCATGCCATAATCCAGGGCCAAAATGCCACGGAGCTGCGATTAGCCGCACTCGAAAGGCGACCAACGCTATAGCAGCGCTTTATGCTGCACATGCGCAGCCGCCGCGCTCATTATTATTATTATTATTTTATATGGCGCATGAGCAGAAGACGCGGTCTCTCCGCGCTCACTGCGTCTGCGCTCAATCCGCGCTTCCTGCAGACTGGGCAGGCGCAGTATCCACGGCTGCTTCCCATCTAGTGCGGCAGGAAAACCCGCAGCGACAGCGGGCGGGGAGCAGAGGAAGCGGGGAGGGAGGGGTGAAAAAAAAAAAAGCCAGAAAGGGATAGAATGTGTTAGAGGAGGGACAGCTCTCCAGATAATGAAGACAGAAGCAATCCTCACACCGCTTTCAATGGCCTGGATTTAGAAAGAAAAAAATATCCCTACTACCATCATCACATTATCTTCCTTAAATCCTATGCAGGGCATTATCGGATCCAGCGCATCTGGGGTCACTGGAGAAGCCAGAGTAGCCCATCCTATTCTTACATATCAGGCCACCGGAGGACTCCTTGCTGCTGCTGTCACTGCTGTACTGGGAAGGCTGAATAGGATCCTTTATTGGGTGAGGACCAGCAGTATTGGATCATCATTGCTATTAGTCACTGAATCCTGGGGGGTGATAAATCCAAGATCTCCTATGGGAAGCTCAGTACATGTAAATCCTTCTGTTTAAGGATTAACATAGCAGCCCTTTTCTATTCTAACGGGATCACATCCTTCCTCAGTCGTATGGAATTCTGGAAATTCCACGAAGGAACTACTGCTGTCATTACTGAAGGATCTCTGGCTCCCCACTGGATGGATATCATTCTGTCTTCTTTATCAAGCCATAGCCTCAGCTTCCAGCCTACTACTTTGGGTCACCAGTGGATGAATAGATCTACTGCTGTTACCTTGTAGACAAACCAATTCCAGTATTATATCTTGCCACCAATGTACACAGTGCTATTTTAAGTATTTGGTTTGCA